CCCCCAGCCCCGTCCCTAGTACTTTCCAGCACGGCCTCCAGCTGCTGCTCCCCGCTGCCGCCGCCAGGGACTGTCCGAATCATCGAAGCTCTGCGAATCTTTTCCAAAGATTCGGAGAACTTTGAATCGATTCAGACCTTTTAGTTGGTCCCCTGATTCGATTCGGATGTGGAGCTTCGGCCACCGAATCTCCTCTGACTCGAATCACCCCCCGAAGCTTCGCACAGCCCTAGGCCTCATGCCCCCCCTCCCCCGGCCCCAACAGGCATCGACCTGGCGGAGATGGCCAGCGTGTTCATGATGGCGGAGGGGGACGACACGGCGCGGCGCGCCTGGCACCTGCGCAAGAAGATCCGCGAGTACCAGGAGAGGGTCACTGTGCCGGGGGGGGAGGGGGGAGGCAGCGCCAGGCGGGGGGGGCAGGGATTGGCACTCAATGTCTCACTCTGTGCCCCCCCATATCCTGCAGTGCCCCAAACCTGTGATCGCAGCCGTGCACGGAGCCTGCATCGGGGCAGGTGAGGCTGCCTGGGGTGGGACCAGCAGGGGGCCCCTAGCTCCTGGGGGGGAGGGGGTCTGACCCCAGCATGGCCTTGCTGTGACACTGTTGTGACCTCACCCTGGTCCTGCTGTGACCCCACCATGATCCCACTGACCTCTCCTTGACCCTGCTGTGACCTCACCCTGACCCCATTGTGACCCTGTTGTGACCTCACCTTGACCCCATGACCTCACCCTGACTCCTCCAGGTGTTGACCTCATCTCCGCCTGTGACATCCGCTACTGCACCGAAGACGCCTGGTTTAAGAGCAAGGTGGGGCACCCCCCCCACCACCACCACAGGGAGGGCAGAGCCTGCGCGTCTGGGTTCCCCCCCTCTGACCCCGGACCGCCTCGCAGGAAGTGGACATTGGGCTGGCGGCCGACGTGGGCACCTTGCAGCGCCTGCCCCGCATCATGGGGAACCGCAGGTGAGACCGGGGCGGGGGGTGGCCTGGACGCCTGGGTCCTCCCCGGGGTCCGCGTGCAGGATGAGGGTGCTGGGGGTGGAGCAGGGGGTACCTGACCCCCCCCGCCGCCCCCAGCCTGG